GGTAAGTTGCTATTGTTCAGGACGAATAATACTAGGGAAAGGGCAGAGTTACGACAGTGGGGGTCACGTGACCCTAGTAAGACGTCATATTCTCGAACGTTCAAGTCCCTTCCCGAAGTCTCGAGAGGCTACTAGATATGCGGTAGTCTTGTATATATAAGCCGTCAAGAAGTGACGGCAACAATGTGTAATTGACAGTTGAGTCGAGCACGTGAGGCATTCGTTGTGAATTATAGCACTTGTTATAGCGCGACTGTGAAAATTAAGTGTATTGCAAAGTTGTATTCAGAAAGAATAAACCAGTTTTATTTAAGAAAGGACTTGTGTCGCTAAAGTTTCATCAGAAAGAAATTATACAGGAAGTTAACTAAGGAATGGAGGTGTAACAGTATTGTAAATGCGAATGGCTACTCCTCGTTAAATTATTAAAATTATTTTTATTACAGGAGCTTCGCTGGTATCTAATCTATACATATAAAGTTGAGTTGTCTGTCAATTTGTTTCACAAATTGTTGAGAGTACTTGGCTGAACATATTTGAATAAATCTGATAGAGGAACCTATGTGGGTTCCCCCACCCCTTCTCCAAAAATAAAAGTTCGGCAGCCATTTAAATATTACTGCATTAAGTTAATGTTGCGATGGTATTAAGATACGTGAAGCCGACACCACACGAAAGAGGATTTGAAAACCCACAGGCACAAAGTTGAAAAAAAGTATGAACAAAATTTGGAAACGGTAATGAAGAAAATTTATTTAAGGTTTAACATAGTAAAAAAATGTACAACGTTTTGACTTGATAATGGAAAAGCCTTGTCGAAACTTTGTATCTTTGTCAAGCTCGTAATCAAGTTTTCTTTGTTACCACTCAAGCCTTTCCAAACTTTATTAGTCTCAAAGTATGTTCGTAATAAAAAGGTATTATTAATTTGTGGCATTATAAGTTATGTTTTCAAATGATCCTTTGCAGTTTTATGTATTTTGGAAGGTTAGTGTTCGTTACATAGGTAAGTATCAAATACTGGAGAACGGGGATCCTTGAAATTTGAGAACGTGTTTAATTGTTTAATCACTTCAGTAGACTAGCGCCAGTGGTTTTAAAACAAACATTGCTGGGCATATTTGTTAGTCTCTTTAAGAAATATAAGCTCGTTAAGTTGTAAAATTACTGAGATATCAACATATATATATATCGGGTAACGTAGAATTCACTGTGTTTGTACATACAGACCAAGTAATGGTATATAAGTTGTTAAACATTAAACATTTAGCCAGCTAGTTTTGCCTGTAACTAATATTAAACCAGGTAAATATTCGCCAGTCTGGACTTGAAATTGTATTTTTCTTGAACCTAATGTGTACTTTTGATATATTGTTTTTATTGGCCTTGTATATTTCTCGTCTTATAGCTATAGAATACTGATACAGTGATAATGTGTAATTGCTTTATGGAAATCTGAGGTATTTACAGTATTTTTGTTATTTAAACGTTAGAATATGTATTTGCTTTATAATGAGCATTTTTATATAAATATATAAAAACATTTGTAAGAAAACTTTTTCCCAGTAGATTTCTGTATATATGTTAACTAATGTCAAGCATATGACTATGATTTTCTCTATATGGTTTTGAGAGAATTCAAGGTTGAAGTAGTTTTACATTTGTTTTTATTATTACCAGCAGTTTCCTTAACCACCCCTCTACGATTGGTGATGTTGGACGTTCCGTCGCCGACTGTTGTAGGTCAAGAGGTAGAACTCACTTGTAGCTTCGACCTGAATGGTGATATTTTGTACTCAGTGAAGTGGTACAAGGACGACGTTGAATTCTACCGTTATGTTCCCAACGATTGGCCTCCAGGACAGTTTCTTCCACTTAGTGGGGTCAGAGTTGACGTAAGTGCTATATCAAAAGGCGCATATTTTATAGTCCATATAAATTTATTAGTAATCCCCAAATAACAAAATTGATGTAATGTCTAATAATAACATTAATCAAGATGCACATAATTTACGTGATGCCACATTTAGTCTGACAAGTTGTGCAAAACACATCATCAGGAAAGCATTAACGATAACAGTTCTCCATATCAACATTCAAGGCGGGTTGGTTTCCAAGCGGCATGAGATCGAAAATATTATACAACAAACTGAAACAGATATTTTATTTATATCGGAGTCAATGCTGTATAAAAACAACTCTTTTAGAACTCCTGGATACCAATTCCTATGAAGGGATAAACGTAACAAAAAAACTCGCCAGAAAGGAGGATTATAGCATTACACAAAAATTATTTATTTGTACATCTACAGAACTTACAATCTCAAGTATAAAGTATAGCACTTGACGTCCACCCCCAAAATAACCAAACAATGACAGTAACGGCAGTTTACTGCGCACCACACATTCCTATAGATACAAATTCCTTAATAATATTCAATCACATAACAAAAGCTATATCATAATAAGCGACCTCAATAGCAAACATACCAATTTTGGATGAAAACTACAAACAAAAATGGAAGAGATTTATTGCAGTTTCGAGAAGACTCTGCTACTATCCTATTAAACGAAACAACACCCACACAAACAAGTGATAGCAGTAACACAAGTGACATTTTAGACTTCTGTATGTTCTCTACAAATATAATATGTTACAGTTCTTCATCTCGTTCAACTTTGGTGAAGACGCTGACAGAGATCGTCTACCTGTATGGGATGTCTTCAATCTATCTCTCCAAATTTAAATCATAAACTTTACTCTGAAAAATTTAGATATGAAAATGCTAATTGGAAAAAGCTATTCTGACACCTGAATAATTACTTACCGAAAGATTTAGTAAGAGAAGCAAAGACTAGCACAGAAATTGATACAACCTGCTCGATAATATCAGAGAGCATAATCATATTTGTTGATACAGCCATTCCAAAAAAAACAAGAAACTCCAGACGTGGAACCACATACACAAATAATAAACACAATAAAAGAAAGAAGATTAAGAAAATAATACATGAAAACAAGACACCAGGAAATTAAAAACAAAATAAACAAACTCGCAAATAAAATCAAGACACTCAAATCACAAAACTGGGACAACTTCTGTACACAACTAAATACTAAAACCGACGTAGTAGAATTCTGGTCATACTTAAATATTCACACAAACACAGCAACAAAACGAACAGTGATAATTATTCAACACTGAAACAGAACAACATACCAGCTTTTACAAATATACAGGAGGCAGCACTGTTCGAGGAACAACTAGAAAAACACTTCAAACACCAAGCGAACCCAACATGGATAATGAGTTTTTCAATAACGTTAACGGATATGTAGAAGCAGTTACAGACCTATATACAATTAAATTTAAAATAATAATATAGAAAGAAATAAACATGAAAAACAGGGTTACTGTCAGGTTTTTATATGGCCAGATGCTTTACAGTAGGTGTCTGTGACTTGTTGGCGATAAATTTGAAAAATAAACGGACAGCATACAATCCACTTGTTTTAAAATAATATATTCAAAACAAATCAAACCTTTGTACAAAAATACATTACACTATTGGTTATCACAGTTGTGATAAATAATAAGTTGTTTAAATAATTGTATCTTTTCCGTCAAAGTCCACACAGGTAAGTTCAATTAATTTAGAACACCCTTTTACAAGACAAATTCTTCTTCTTTGTTATCACTGTATAATTAGTGATAAATTTACTAACTTTACCCAGTTGTATCCAAAGCTTTAGATAATTCTTTTTTACGTCAGAAGGCCACACAGGTTGGTTCAGTTACTTGACAACCCAATTTACAATACAAATTATTTTTCTCTATTTTGTTTATTACAATAAAATCTGCGAATATAACACTTTAAGTCGCCAATATACACTATTTATGGCTAAACTTACAAACACAGTCTAGATCTATATCTCTAACCAACTTTGTATTACTTTCAATTTCACTAACTTAATTTGCTCTTAGCTTATTTACGCGTATTTATAACACGCGACAGAAAAATCGAGAAATATCTAGTCCTCTAGTAAGAACAATATTAAACATAACGAGAACGACTTAGAAGCTTCGAGTAAGATGACGTCAACAATGTTACAAACGTCTAATACAACAACTAAATTAAATACACAACGTACGACTCGTAACGAAACTTGTCATAACTATTGCTTTTAAAATAATTAACTTTCAATACTCTTGTTACGAAACTAAATAATCATTAAATATTAAATCACTAAATGAACTAAATAATAACTCTTAAACTGAACAGTGTTGTATATCCAACAGTCACTTATCAACAAAACTTATACACCCTATTACTAAAACATAGGTATAGAAAAATATAAACTATCTCAAAAACAAACACCGGGAACAGATACAATACAAAACATATTACTACAGAAAGGGCCTCTGAGATTGTACGAACATTTGACAGCGCTATTTAACCTCTCACTAAAATCGTCATATGCCAGCAACTTGGAAACAGTCAGACATTGTTATATTCTCGAAAGAAGTCAAACTAGCAAATAATCCTGACAATTATAGAGCCATAAATTTAACCAGCTGTTAGGAAATTTATCAGATAAAATTATAACAGCAGACTATTGCAATTCTTAGAAAACACATCTAAATCACCCGTGGTCCAAAATGGATTTCAAAAATTCAGACAAACGAACGATTACCTAATTGGAGTCGCTGAAGAAATCATAAATAGCTTCAGTAAGAAATATTGCACTGTCGCATGCTTTGTCGATGTAGAGAAGGCATTCGACAAAGTTTGGCATAATGCTCTTCGGTATCAAATGTCCAAAACAGGATTCTTCAACGAAATTTTTCGTAGGTTATCAAAATTCATGGATAACATCAGAGTCAATGTGGAAAGAACCTACTTGGAGTAATTTACTGAGGAAGCAGGTGTCCCATAAAGATGGGTAGTTGGTCATACACTGTTCATCATGTATGCCAACACAGTGCTTCTGAATGAACACAACCTCTGTTTCTTCTCACAGTTCGCAGACGATGTTGCCCTGTAGAAGAGTGCTCCAAATCCAACAACAGCAGCATATAACGTACAACCACTTTTAAATGAAATATAATTATTTTGTAACAAACGGAGAATCAAGATTAACGTACACAAAACACAAGTAATACTCTTCATAAAGTCTACAAAAATAAGACACAGCTTTATCTAGTCTATCCTCCAGGTATCACCAAAATTTTCTGGGTCTAGTGGTTTTGAGAACTTTAATGGAGTGCAGCTTCTTGTTGAGTAAAAAAGAGGATGACGTTTCGGCTTCTATACTGAGGCCTTCATCAGGTAACTGTAAGAACATGTGTAAAGTGTAAAGATAAGCGCGGCCTAGTGGTAAAGCTCGGGATGTGAGGTAATAGTTTTATCTGCAGAGGCAGTTGTAGTCCTTTAAACCTACATAGTTAACATGGCAACAACACATAAATACTATCAAAACAAAAATTTGGCAAAGAACGTGATATGTTAGATATCGGACGGGCAAATATCAAGGCACTTCACACGAGAACATAATTAAAATATACAAAGCATATATAAGAGCAATAATAGAGTGCGCATGCCCACCATGGATAAACGTCTCTAAAATATACATAACTAAATTACAAAAAAAATACAAACTATATACCAACCAAAGCTTACAGAGTACCACACACACAACCAATATATGACATTTCTACATAAATATTCAAACTATTTTCGGACAGACTTCTAACAAACGCAATCCTATATTTTCTGACGCACTGATGAAAAACTTAAGACAGATACATTATAGATGATCATACCTAGTCGTAAGTACCATTCACCTCTGAATATAATATAAAAAAAACATGTTAAAAGGCCTCCTAGTGCTAGGAAAACGGCATTTTCCATTACATAATTAGTTTTATGTTAAAAGGGTTCTTTTATGTGTAAAAATAAAATTATTTATGTAAGTGCAAGAAAACTATATTGATTGCACTGTGATAATAGGGTATTATGTGTGAAAGTACAACAAGCGAGTATACGTGTAACTGCTCAAGTTAATGGTGACACATAAATTGAACGTGGCGAAAAAGTGTTGTTAAACTTATATTTGTGAACATTATACAAATAATATACAATCGCGAGTAAACCTGCATTTATGGTGAGCATTATCGGAAAAAATTCCGTGCGACAAATTCTAATGAAACTGGTCAAGAGCCTGTTGAGACGAGCCATTCAACGACTTCTTTGCTATATACATAAACTGCTGTAGAAGAAGCAACGTCAAAACAAAAGCACACAAGTCCACTGTCTGGAGGGAGGAAGAGGTCCACAGGGCACCTGACTCTCCCAGGCCCAATCCTGAGGATTTAGAATACGATTTTCGGTTACTGGTATTTCGTATCCTCGCAAAGGTCGAGTAACTTTTAAGCATGTCATTATTTACAAATAATAATATTTAAAAAAAAACAACTTTACATCGAAGACATGTGTGTTCATATTTAAGGTCATTTTCTTAAGGTTTGTTTTGCGAGCAAATGTTCGTGAAAAAAAGGAAAGTTTTAAACATGAAGATCAAAGAGGCATACATTTTAAAATTCTAAATATTACGGGTGGCATCGGTATTTCTGAAGTTTTGAATTATAACATTACTTGCCCTATTTCTTTCGTGCACGGAATGGCTGAGAAGTGTCGGGTTATTGGTTTTGATTCTTTAGAATGGGTTTAACGCTAACTGTGTTATTATGCCATAAGTTTTACGGTTCATCTCAGTCTCGTTTCATTACAGTGTTGTACCTCGAAGTAAAATTATTGGAACGTTACTTGAAGGAAGGAATCGATGTGTGATATGTAGTATGAAGATGAGAGTGATACGAATAACGTGATTGTC